AGCTTTGCACATGTTGCATTTAAAGAGCTAACAGAACATCCAATTCATGAGGGTAGGTGGAAATATGGACCAGATAGAGGTGAAAACTCCAGAATTCATATTTGAGTCATTCACCCAGAGAAGCACAGAATATTATGGCCAGAAAGGACCTTAGAAATCACCTAACTCAAGTCTCTAATCTTATGAGAAAACCAATACCAAAAGAAGTTAAGTTCTCCATAAAACTGGTAGTAAAGGCAGAACTATATAACACAGATCTTTGTAAATATTCTTTCTGCTAGATACTTGTAATATTCTCTGGTATATGAGATAAGGCTTTGAGAAACAACCACAATTGGGAAAACAAAGAAAAGCAAATTAAGATGGATCAGAATGGTACAGGAAACAATGAAATCCAAGGAAGGAAAGTTTCGAGAAGGAACTCAACAGTGACATAAAAAGGTCAAGTTGGATGGGAATTGAGAAAAGGCCACTACATTTGGCAATGAGGTTATTAGTTACCTGTTAATAAACTGTTCTTTTTAATAGTACCTACTATTCCAGAATTCTCAAATGCTGCCCTTGGAGTCCTTGCAACAGGAACACCTCAGACATATAATCCACATACAATGAGGTTCTCTTATTATTTCAGTAACTAAGCTACCTTGAACAGGGTCCAAGAAGAGCTGGCTTTCTGCAAATTTCAAATCCGTAGTGACTCATGTTAGAGCAGGGTTCCAATTTGCTTACATTCTCATCCGATCATATTTTATCACAGTTCTTAGAGCTTAGCCATACTTTTCAAATTTATAGGCTTTATTTATTTTCTCTGAATTCATATGTAAATAATCCTAAGAACTTCAAACCTTTCAGCAGTTGGCTAATTACTGCATAAAGCTTTTCAAACTAACATTACTAATTATAGTGTACAGTATAGTGAAATACACAAACATGAGGATTTGAAAATGTAAATGCCTGTTTTTAAAATTCAATGGGTGATGATTTTTAGGCAATTTTTGACACACTTACTCCCAATTCTTTACCTCCTATTCTAAAAAAGTAAGTGGTATTAAGACTATCTGCATAATGAAAACCACATTATAATACAGAGAATCACGCAGCAGGATTTGTCTAAATGTAGAAATTTTCAGTAACGGCCATCTGGCAAGTAGCAACACTGAAATTGTATGGGGGATGTGCTAATTTACATCATCTGTGTATCAGATGATCTATAACCTTAAAGAAAAACATGCCTCTTTTATTCATTGAAAGAAAACATTTTTGTCATTTTCAGACTGAGTGCTGAATTTTTTCTTAATTCGAAGTTACAAATTTAATCTGATAGGAAGAAAAAGAATATAAAAATGCACTTAATCTGAGTTTAATAGGCATGTTTGAATTTTCCACCTTACCAAAGCTATGTACACACTCAACTATCATATCTGTTTATCATACATAGATGCTTAAGTAATATATGAATACAGATTAAACTTTAAAAACAAATAAAGATTAGAAACTGAATTTGGCACTGTTATGGGCACTCTATTAATGGGAACAATTCAGCCACCTCCCATCTCCTCTCTCCCCATAAAGACCCCTCTCCCCTGCTTCCTTTTGTCCCCACTCACCTGATCTTTTCCTTCCTTTATAACTACAAAAGTCTTAAGCCTACCAGCTGACACTTAAACCTAATGAGGCTTCTGATCCTTCTTAATGAGAATAAAAATAGATCTTAAATAACCTTGAGGATGTAATGAATTTCAAAACACATCTTATATGTGAGTTTAATAAAGCTATTAGTAGCAAATTCTGAGAAAGCTTTTCACTAATACTCTCTGCTCTCTTTTTTATAATATACAACCAGTTCAAGCTGGTATGAGTTCTCTGTGTACCTGGGTGATATCACACCTGAACTCAAGTAGAAATGAACTAGAAAGTTGGTTATAGATCATTCCAGGGCAAAGTTCAGCCCTCTGCTTAGAAATGACAAGCAGTTAAGGGTATGACAAGAGTATCTATAGAGAAGACACTCTATTTGGATGTAATGAATTCTGTGGGAAGGCTCCTCCCCACTGAACCCAAATCTTGTCCTTCCTTCGAAAAGCTCAAATAGCACTTTCACCATGGAGCCCACCCTGCCCTCTCCTATTCATCCGGATCTTCACTGCTTCGGGACTATAAAATTTTTTTTGGACTGATCTACTTCTCCAAACACATTACTTTTACATTTTAAGTCCATCTCCCCTTCTGCCTCTGTGATGAAGTCTATCACCCTCTAAAGCAAATACACTCCCTCCACTGGACACTTAAATTATTCTACAGTCACAGTTGTCTTTAATATTCCTTTCTTTCCTTTGTTTTTCAAAAAATGCAATGTAAGCACATAATTGAAAATTTGGAAATGAGAGAAAATAGAAAAACAAACCATTCATAATTTCACTCCCTAACAGCCACTGTTACCTGTATACGTACTTCCTTACCATCTTTATTAGGTAGACACATTTTGTACCTAACTGTAAACAGTGAATATGGGTTTTAATATACCTTCGATTAACATTAAATACATTTACAATCTTGTAACTTATATTAAGAATATAAAAATAGTAGTAATATGTACACAGATGTCCATAGTTCAACTTGAGAGAGAGAACTTGACTAGTCCTACAGGTAGCCCCCATGGCCCCCTCCCTCATCCTATCCTCTCCTCCCATAACTATCCTGAAATTTTACCTATGCTTACACTGCCTTGTAACTTTTAAAAGTTATTGTCATCACTGATTTTAGTTCTTAATTATATTCCACCTTACATTACTATTTAACATGTCATGCTTCGGATTTATTTTAAGGTAGATTTAAGCTCGTTATAAGAAGGGCCTATGTCTCAGGCAGTTCTGTATCCTCCATAATATCTAGCACAAACACTGACTGAATATGGTCAATTGTGGAAAGCATGAATTAGGCATCAAAAGAATGAAATACATTTGGCTCTGGAAAGTAATTATCCTCTTCATCCAAATTGCTTTCATTTCTCCTACCTGCTCATATTCTCATTTTTCATCCCTCTAACTCCTGTTAGTTGTTAGCTCCTTAGGTGATCTATAAATAAAAGGCACTGTCCAAGTTGCAGGAGCTGGGGAATGTCAAAATATCATTTGTTTTGGCCCATCACTGAAGGCCAACAGCTTTTTCTCCTGAAGGAATGTATATCTGATGTACAGGACAGGACCCAACGGGAGGAGCTTAAGAGTATTTTCCAATGGCTCAAGGCTTCTTCCGACAAAAAGGGCCAGATCATGTTACTGCAGATCTGCATTTGGCTTTTGCCCTTTCTGTTTTAGACAGGGAACTGTGTTTGACTTTTCTTTTTTAAACTGCTAACATATTGATTTTACTGCTACATCTATTTCCCTTTTATGGGGTCATTTATTGTACCTACTGTAACACTTTATCTCTATCTGTTTATTCTTGGAAATGAACAGGAAGTGAGTTAAGGGGATAGTTCTAAAGAGAGATGCTGCCCCCCTCAAAATGGAGTTTAACAGGCTTTGGACGCCATTTAAGCTCCTTGTTTGGTATCGAGGATAGGATCTTTGTTCCAACACAATTATTCCCCTTGCCCCTAAAATCAACTTACCAGGAAAAGCTAATAGTGCCCCTTCCAACCCTTAACCACCCATTGTTCCTAGAAATTCAGCTAAGGAGCAAGACAAAACTGACACCTGCTCTGGGGCTACAACAAGCAGCTCAGGATGATCGAAGGTACATACCACTCTTACACAAAACAGTAACATAAATAAATAAACAAATAAACAAAAAAATCATAGTAAACTAAAATTTGTGATGTTCAGTATATATATTATTCACACTGTTCCAATATCTTAAGCAGTTCATATTATATAGAAGGAAATATATTCATTTGAAATTCATTTTGGAGAAAAACCCAGTGTACCTGAACATCCCCATAAAACTCCTTGGCAGAAGCACAAAAGAGGGGCCATGATGAAATTATTATACTAGTCCTATTATACAAGACACTCTAAATTGCATAGCATTATCCTAGCCACCAGTTTCTAGCAAGTATGATTTCATTTTTATTCATGAGTTATTTTTTATATGAATTCAAGCTTTGGAGGGAAGAAGGACAAAGTCAAAAATTTCACTCCTATTCCCAATCACTTGAGAAGAGAAAGAAAATGAGAGAAGCCTAGGAATAGAGATTACCCAATCAGTATAAGAAACCCAGTGAAACTCAGAAAGGAATCAATAGTCATATGCAAACCGGAAGACCTGAAAGGCTATATGACCCAACAGTGTCTTCAAAATGGACTGAGGAAGTCATATAAGCAATGAGAAAGTTTAAATTACTATAGGACTGCCTTCCAGGCTAGCCAACCCCATCCACTGTATTTCTTTATTTGTTCAACCACTCATTTATTCAACAAAAATATATTAAGTTTCCACAGTATATGAAGCACCTTGCTAGAAACTGAAAATACAATGATGAATATGACACATTAATTGGACTCAAGGGAAAAGGTAAAGGAAAGGAAAAAGAAAGACAATGATATTTGTGGAAAATAAGATAACATGTATATAGTCTAAACCTTCCACCGAAATTTAAATAATTTTTTTGTAACTCAAATATCACTTTCGCATTAACTTAAATAAAAATATCAAAGATGTTTAATCTTCAACAGGCACCTTTTCTTTACCAGAAAATTTAAGGACGTAATTACTCTCAGGGTCATGCTAGTGCCAATCCTGCACTTACACAAACCTGAGAGTGAGTGCCTCCTTAAATTTTGTGCTCCAAGTGCCTCATTCACCTCACCCTAGTCTTGGCCCTGCTCTCTACCTCCACATCCACTCCATCCAAGCAGAGGGGAGCTATTTAAAAAAACCTAGAAGCACCATGCCAGTAGCCCACTGGGATTTTGTATAAAATGCTAAGAGAAAATCTACTACAAATTGGCTTTAAGCCCGATCAAGGCTCTAAGACCCAATGGTAGATGGAGACTAACACTTCTGGGGATATTTCTGAATTGCAGTTAATAACCATCTCCACATCACACACCTCCTGCTCACTTACTTGTCTTTCCAATTGGGATTTTATTTGATGAAGGACTGAATAGACTATGCAAAAAGATGTCTGAAAATTTTAGAAAAAAGTAAAATAACATGCATTTCAAAAAATATGGTAATTCTACTTTTAAGTTTTTTTCCCAAGATACCTTTTTTGTTTTTTAAACAAAGGAGACCCAAACATAATCCCTGTGTTTCTGGAGCATATGAATAAATGTGTCTACACAGAAATATCCAAGTACACAGCAATCAGAGAGTAAAAGTTTATGTCTGCCTACCTCCTCCGGCAAAGAGAGAAGCAAAAAAAGGGCAGACATGCCAAGATCATCATGCTGATCACACCAAATCCAAGAATCCGGAACATCTGCAGAGGCCCTGTTGGTTTAATTATATCCTGTTACTTTTATGACTTAAGCAAGAGAAGCAAATCTGAGCGCTTTCATAAAGTGTTTATAAAAACATCTATCAGTTAATAAAGTAAAATAAGGAGGTATTCTTATACGACAGGTAATATCCTTGCTACACTATACGTAGCAGGAGTTTATGAAATGTTCTTGAAACACAACCAAAGACAACACTTTTAAATATGTGCCTCCCAATGGAAGCCTTAACAAAATGATCCTACTGTTTTTGTTGACATTATTACGATCCACACTCTCTATTTCTTCCTATGGCTTAAGTGTGTTTTTTCCTTGGCCATATGTTATGCATCCTAGAGCACTCGAAGAGTGAATTTATCTGTGAACAGTTAACTTGATGAAAGAATGACTTCTTAAATGTTTACTTCCAAATTGTAAAACATTAAATTAAACAAGAAATCAAATCAGATGATCGGCATATTTTATTCTTATATTCATTCGGAAATGCATTCTAATATGATTGGGGAATTTTAAGTCATGGTTCAATTTTTCCCTCTACAAGAACCAAATGTCTCTTCACACATAATACGAAGACTAAACTGATGAATGAAATATAAACACCATGTGACAGTGTTAAAATTGGAATACTATATTCATGATCAGGTTTCGGTTTCCATGATTAATACTAGATGTTTAACAAAGAGCTGTAAATTGAATAGGGACTATATTAACCTAAGACATTGCTTTGCATACATTCATTCTGTGGTATTTGTCAGTGTTTAATCATATCAAATGTGTCCATCACGGCACTCACTGGTAATACGTCCCCACTACCCAAATGGAGCAAAAACAAATGGTCTAAGTCTGAAAACTTTGTAAAAAAAATCTTAAGAGATGAACCTAATTCAAAAATGATGAAACAAAGAGAAACTAATAAACAGACCCTAACAAGAAACGTTTAGGTCTACTGTCATATACTGAGATGCTGAAGACAAGATAAACGGGAAGAAGTTGACTGAAGTGGGAAGAGAAAAGCAAACTAAGGCATGCTGATTGCTATCTTCTCCCAAGCATTGAAAGTTACGTCTCACAGAGACTGGAATCTCTGGGACAAGATAGACAGTGACTAAAGCAAAAGAAAAGATGAGACTGATTTCAAATTGCCATAGTCACATCTGAGGGCTAAGCAGAAACTGCTCATGAACAGAGAGGCCTAACGACCTCAGGACATTCTATAGGCAGTACTGCTCTAGGGCTGCAAGCCCCCTTTATGTGTTAAACTGAGAGATCCAAATTTAGATTTACACCATTGTGACATGTTTATTCAATTTTTAAAAATAGAAATATGATAAATGTAAGAGGATGAACATACTATCTTTTAATGGGGCAAAACAGCTGAAGTTACTGGTTCTTAATGATGAATAACAGCATTTGTATTCCAAACATTCACTCTCCTTAAGATCTCGCCGATCATTGCAAGCCTTCAACTCCTGATTTTCCTTTGGAATACATGCTTTTGGAAACAAAATTCAGCATGATTAATAAGCACTTTCCCTAATTAAATAATTACTTAAAGTCAAAGAAACAAATATTTAATTAGTACATTTAAAGAAAAGATTGAATAACATATACAAATAGCGATGAATGCCGAAAAGAGCTAAACTAAAAATTACAACAATTATTTAATATCACATTTTTAATTCTACATGAACTGCAGAAAAACAAATTAACAAATCATTGGTAAGGTAGTTAGTTAGAAGTGCTATGAATCATAAGCTGGGTAGTGGTGCTACAAATATAACACAGAAGGAGCCAAATAACAAGAATAGGCCAAATGCCCATAAAACTAACACCTTGTTAAAATAATACCACAGCCATCCTCTCACTCAATTTTCCTAAGGTACAGAAACTCTAATGCATCAATGAGAATAAATTTAAGTAAAATTCACACAGTTTACTGCTAGAAAGGTAAGTAATACTACTGGTATTGATCTACTTTCTGTGAACACATCATATTGGCACTAGCAAAGGTTTTAAGATTCTTCCTTTTGGACTTAAGTTATGACTCTATACTTTTGAACAGGCAAAGATTTATGGCCAAGATTCATGCAACTGCAATAAATTCATACATATTAAAATCTATAATCACAAGTTCAAGCAGCTGATTTTTTTTAACATCCTGCTTTATAAGACAAACAAATGACAACTAAAAAGGCAGATATCAGACTATTATTCTAAAAGAAAACCTCTACAGCATGGCTTAAGGCTAGCAGAGATGTGGTTCCACCTCCAATACGATCAACAACTACAGCCTGAGAAAAGTAATAACTGATGTTTTATGATCACTCTAAAGCACTTCAACATCAGCAAAGAACAATATAGTGGCTATAAGCATATTTTTACCTTTTGGTATATTTTACTATATTCCTCTTTAAAGACTGGCAATTCCTGAAGCTAAGGTAAAAATAATAATAGCTACCATTCACTAGGCCACCTATTTGGGCTAGGTACCTTGCTTTATTCACATTACTTCTAATCTTCACTACAAACTCAAAATGAGTTTTACAGCCTCCAGTTGAAAAATAAACACGTAAAGGATCAAAGTAACTTGTGCAAGGTCACAGATTTAATTCATTACCAGTTGGCCTGGATGTTCTTTTCCCAAACATTTTAGACACACGAGAGTTTAGTCTACTTTGCTGTTATATACTCTAGGCAATCCGTTCCTCAATTCTACCAGGCCAAGAGAGACTCTCCTCCTCAGGTTGGCATCTGAAATACCACATTCAGGTTGGGCAGCACACAAAAAAAGGGTAACAACAATCAGGGCCAAGTCAGAGATGGGATGGAGTTCCTGTAGGCTGGGTTTGTCACTACTGGCATTGTTCAAAGAGCACTTTGAACAAAGAACGAAAATAATAGAAGAGATTTTAAATCATGTAAGAGACTGGACTAAATGATCTCTCAGGTCTCTTCTAATATTGAGCTTCTGTCATTTTATACTTAAATTGCATCTGATGGACTTTATGTCAGATACTAAAATTAACTTCCAGATTCAAATTACTAAGAAACACTTGTAATTTTGAAGAATCAAAAGGGTAGAACAATTTTTATCAGGTTTAAGTATGTAATTTTGTTCAGAGGGATAAGAATCAAGTTTCCATGCCAGTATGTCTAAAGGTTATCATTTTAATCTCCAAGAGATGAATCTTTTACAAACAACAATAACAGCCTAATAACAAACGA